AAAAAGATAAATAGCAGTTATGACTTTTTATTTTATTTTTTAAAAAATTTATTTATTTATTTATTTATTTATTTATTTATTTTGTGTGTGTGTGGCCAGCTCAGCCCACCAGGGAGCGGGGCTGGCTGGCATGTGGTGCTGGGAGACTGAACCGCAGTCCCTGTGCTTTGCCAAGCTTGTTCTAAGTAGGTGCTTTAGACCACTGAGCCATCTCACCAGCCCCCAGTTATGACTTTTTAAAAAAATACATTTAGTACAAAGTCTACAGGATCTCACTACACAGATCAGACTTGCAGTGATTCTCCTGTTTTCAGCCTCCCAAGCGCTGGGATTACAGGTGCTTGCACCACCACGCTCAGTCTCAATTGCCATCTCAGTGTGCCCCAGGGGCGGGGCCAGCACAGCACCCTGGGGATAGAACCTGGTCCCTGTGCGTGCCTAAGTAGGCACTTTAATCTGCTGAGCTATCTGGCCGGCCCAGTTAGGACTCTTATTTCACTCGCATTGTCTCTCCCCATACCTGCATTAGTTTGCTGGCCCATTTCCCCAGTCCTATACAGTGGAGCTGCCATACTAAATAAGCCTCTTTCACTGAAGGGTCAGAAAGGGTGCATGTGCCCAAGACCTCACTCCTCTCTTGTGTGTTGTGGTCCCCTTCCCTCGTCACTCCACTACCTTCTTCCTTCTTTCCTGACCCCATTTGTTTCTTTTTGTATCCTAGGTAAGCTTTGGGGTATAGTTCTGCAGCTCAAAGCAAACTCCAGTTCTGTGGCATACACTCACAGATGCACAACACACTGCCCCCCTTCCCAGAGGGCTAGACCTGGGTTGCAACATGAACCTCTACTTGATTCCAATGTCATCAGTACCACTGACTAGAAAATCTCCTACCTTTATCCCTGTTGCCCCATGCAGAGCTAGCCGGTGTGTGGATCTGGTCCCCTATGGGGTCTGATGACATCAGCACCATTCCGACTCTGAAAAGTTCACTGTGAGCTAATTCCTCCAGAGTACGGTAGTAAGGTAAATGAGTCAGAGCATGTGAAGATGGTGTGACCGGGACTCTGCTGTAGGAGTCAGGAGCTGGGTTCAGCTGCATGCTCCCTAACCTGCACTGCCCTGTGATCAGTGACACTCACCCTCCAGATAGCTCACTGGTGCAAGAAGAGCAATTTGTAGGAGGAGAGTATAGCTTTGCATGAAGTGAACAGCTCAAATTTACTGTGGTTTTATTTTTGTCCTTGGTCTTTTTTTTTCCATTTATGTATTTCATTTATGTATTTGGTATAGGGTCTTACTGTGCAGACCCGACTCATAGTGATCTTCCTGCTTTCTGCCTCCCTAGTACTGGGATTTCAGGCATGCACCACCATGCCTGGAGATTCATTCACCAGCTCAGCGCACTCTGGGGCAGGGCTGGTGCAGCATGTGGGCTGGGGATCGAACCCTGGGCCCTGAGCTTGCCAAAGCAGGCGCTTAAGTCTGCTGAGCTATCTCACTGGCCTGTCTTTTGTCTTTCTTTTGGAAAGACCAATGGGCAGAAAAGATGGAATAAGGTGAAGTCTAAATTTGCTTGCATCTTCAGCCATCCTATGGCATGTGGAACATATCTCTAAGACACTCTTGGGTTTGATTTTTCATAGGCTAAAATATTGTTTGTGCTTCTAAGGGATATGGTGAGAAGGAAAAAATTCCAGTTCAAAGACTGAATAAATTCTACTAGACATATTGGCTAAAATCCCTTGTAGCATGGAGTTGAATCCACCTACTCCCTCCTTGCCAGCCCTCCTCCCCAAATCAACTGTGTCCCTGCCCCTGCTCTTTGTTTTTAATAGGGTGGAACTGGGGTGCAGGGAGGCACAGGAAGAAATGGCCAGCTTTGCTGAGGCTTTGACCACAAGAACAAATAACAGTCTTGGAGACAGGTTCAAGAAAATCTTTCAGAATGCAGAAAATTCAGCAGACTTTCCACATTGACCATTGTCATGGCAACACACTATCTGAGGGCAGCAGCCATCACCAGCCTGAGGGGCGCAGTATCAGTATATCAGGTTAGCCTGGACATTTTTAGCAACATGTGAACTTCCTCATAGCTTCATTTCTCCTAGGTAAAGTTGAGTCTCTTGGTTCTGGCCTCAGTATGATCTGCTAGATTGCACAGCTAGCACACAAGGCTTTGCCAGTATGAAAGGGATGGCTAAATGGCAAATCTGAACATCCTTCGTATTCTATAGCCGCTCTACTTGTTGTCAGCCTCCCTGGCTCCTGCTCACTCACTCCTAGCCTCTTCATTTCTCTCTTCCATACCAATTCTTTCCCACACAAAGCAATTACCTCCCCCCCACCCCAAACAACAGTGACTCATCTAACAACCCCAGTACTCTCATTGTATTCTTTTTATCCTTTTCCTGTGTTCTCCCTGTAATATAAGGAGGTCTAGAATCTTACGGTTGGAAAGAATCTTAACAATAATTTAGTTCAGTCCCTGGCCTCCAAGGCGGGAGCTCCTCTATACTGGAAGAGCCAAGTGATTATCTAGTCTTTACTTGTATATCTCTAGTGACAAAACCCTTATTCTTTTCTGAGAAGCCTGTTCCGCTTTGGATAGCTCTCATCATTGCAGAATTCTCCCTTCTATTGAGTGAAACCTATCTTTTTCTATCTACCCATGGGTCCAACTCTGTTCCTTGGGGTGGATAGACCCCATCTAGGTCTTCTGCTCACTGAGAATCTCTTAAGAAGAAATAGAAAGTAAAATTCACACCTCTGTGAATCTTTTCTTCCTCCAGGAAACCCCAGCTTCTCCAGCCAGACCTGTTGGATCCTCAGCTGTAATCTTCACCCCAGCCCAACTAACCTTCTAGAAAGGCTCCTGATGGTCTAGAGTTTGTAAAATGAAGTTGATACTACATCAACATTTCTATAGACCACTTCACTCTGATAACTCAGAATGAGCACAGTCAACTAAAACTCCTACCTCTTTTTTAGGTATCATGCTGATAAGTGGCATCTTCCAATTCTGTATGTGTCCACTTGATTTTGAGGACCCAGTTCTGATCCTTGTTTTCACTCAGTTTAGATTCACTGTGTTATAATCAGAATATTGCTTTAGCCATTTAGGACCTTTAAAAAAAACACTTGACTTCTATGTAGCTTCCAGGTCCTATAGGATCTTTTTTTTTTTTCTTCAGCACCCTTTATCCTAGTGTTTTGGTCTTTTATTTATTCTTCTTCTATTTCTTTCCTTTACTAGTTCTCCATTTGGAGCTATGTGCCCGGGGGCACACCCATTTCTGCACACACAAAGGTGTGAGCGAAGAGCTGAAGAGGCTTGCTACTATGTGTTTGGATTCCTTTGTCTGTTGGTTAGCAGGACTGAGAGGCTGGATGCGAGTAAAGGGCAAAGTTGAGTGAAGAGAGGTAAGAGAAGCTGGCCCGAATCAGTCCTGAGGGAGATAGGAAATATGTTCTGGGCCTCAAAGGCAGGAGGAAACCAGGGAGGGCTTGCGAGTGCTCATTTGGGTAGGGCATGATGGGTAAGACTGGGTCAGGGCCAAGGCTGGGACTGTTCCGAAGGCCTTAAAGGCTGAACAAGGGAGGAGGGCAATGTGGTTAAGAAGAGGACCTGTGGATTCAGTAGGCACTGACTACTCAGAGGGTGGCAGCTTGAAACAGTGGAGTCAGGAGAAGACAGGGTGAAAAGGATCTTAAAAGGCCAATAAGCAATGTTGTGAATATAATCATAATCATGTCTATAATTTTCTATAGCCAAAAGAACCCAGGAAATGGAGCCCTTATGTATGGACTTTATTGTTGTCACAGGCTGGGCTCTGCTAGTGGATATAGGTCTTCTTCTTCTTCTTCTTTTTTGTACTGGGGATCAAACTTGAGACCTTGCACTTGCCAGGCAGGCACTTAAGCCACTGAACTATCTTGCTGATACAGGTCTTATATCACCCACAGGAAAGACTTTCAGGACCCTATAAGACCGACCCCAGCATCACACAGATCTCCTCATGTTGGACTGGATTCCAACGTGGGAGTCAGAGGTGGGAGAACTGGAGCTATCTTGGTTATTTTATGAATAACTATAGGAATTTCATTCCTCTGATATCTTTGTTTCCCTAACTTTGTAAATAATTAGGATTTCATTTTAATAAAAATAATTAGGATTTCAACTGTCTCTCTTTCTTAATAGGCAAATAGCTGACCCTAATTCTTAAAAGGAATGGTATATATGAGAAATGAGTGGTAAAAAGGTACTTAGGACCTGGAGGGGAGCTCTACTGGAGAGCTGAGAACAGTGACCCCAACAGCTAGAGGGCAGAACAATCAGGACAACAATGGCTGGAAGACTGCCATTTCCTCTCTGCCCTATGGGCAGAACAATTCCTAGGTAGCCAAAGGGGAGGGGAGGGCCGGCAGAACAATTCCTAGGTAGCCAAAGGGGAGGGGAGGGCAGGGGAAGAGTGGGGAGGAGGAAAAGGCAGCAGATCCATCCCCAGTACTCTGGATGACACTGGGGAACCTATTCCCAGGCATCAGAATCCCTGATACTCATCGCGCTTCTAGTTTCTGAAGGCACTGCTGGATAGAGGAACATCCACACCGAAAGAGAAGGTCAGCAAATTCCCTTCCTACTCTGACCCTCGGAAGTCTAAATCAACTTAAGCTTCTCTTGTCTTAAAGAGGGTCATGCTATTGCTATTGGGCTTTTGAAAGAAAAAGGGCATACTTTAGAACTTCTTTTTCCTTGGTGGTACCTACAGTTGAACCTTTTGTCCTTCTGAAGGTGACATTAGCTGGCCAAATGACAATCCCAGCCAGAAGGGCCTGTGTAGAGTTCTAACTACAGGCTGTCAGGCCCAGAGGAGGTTCCCCTTCAGAGTCAGTGAAAGAAGGAGCCACCAAAAGACAAATGGTACTTGAGGAAGTGCCTGCCGATAGGCCACCACAGACTGGATGGACTAATGGGTGGGCTAGGGCAGGATTGTGCTCACCTTTGATGTAGTTGAGGATTTGTTGGATTCTGCGGGGCTCATTGCGGTCTGGCCGGCAGCTTGGCGTGATTTCCAGCACATAATCAGGACCATATGCTGTGAAAAACTGTAGGGAAAAGGGAAAGACCAAAAAACAGCTAAACCACATAAGACCTCCAAACCGAACCAAATACAAACAGGACCATCAAAAGGAATTTAGCACTACCGACAAGGCTAGGAGGGTCTCCCCGGGCAGAGCAGGGCGCTACCACAGGAAGCTGGCCCTGGTGGCACTGCCGCCTGTTCTCAAGCCACACTTGACTGCTCAGTGCCCTTGCCAGCCATCTCGTGCTTTGCCTTCCTTCCCTTGGGATCTCTGCCATCGCTCTTTCCTAGGGCCTGTGAAAGCCCACCCCCAGTGCCTGCTGCCTGTGGCAAGCCTTCCAGGCACAGCTCAAATATCACCTCCTTCACAAAGCTGTCCCTTATTCTCTGCCACCTCCCCCCCCCCCCCCAGCATTCTGTTGGTATCTCTAATGGCCCTCATTCAAATAGACAGCATTTGGCTGTGTATCACAAGCAGGTCACTGTGCTGGCTGCTGTGGGGACTCAGAAATTGGGTAAAACTTCCCTTGGGTCATGGATGGAGATTTTTCAATAGCAATCAGCTCCCCTTCCCTGACTGTGTGCTCCCTGAAAGTAGGCAGCCCCTGTTTCATTCATCTCCAGGAACCTCATAGACTACAACAATTAGTTGTCTATTAGCTCTGGTTGCCTTGAATTCCAGGTCCTAGCAATGGCAAACGACTCTCGTTTCTCTACTTCAGTTTTTTCTCTGCATATTTATTTGCTTTTAAATTCAAAGAAGCAAAATAAAGATGTGTGGACTCTATGTCCAGCCCCGTAGAGGATACCTTGTGACTTTTGGTAAGTCACAATATCTGACTCAGCTTCTCTGTTAGGGCCCACTGTGGGGAAGACACTGTGACAAAGGCAGTCATTCAATTGCGATAAATTTCTGAATGGGAAAATATGCAAACTACGATTTCTGTTTAGGTTTTAACAGAAATAGTATTTGTGCACACTCTCTGGAGAGAGAGCATATGGTCCTTAACATTATATGCTCTCAACAGTGATACTGTTAGGTGCTAAGTAAACCAGGCAAATTCAAATTTTGTGAAAAAATAGCACAGTGGACATGAAAACAAAGATTCTGGTATCTGTTATGATTTTGATGTCATTCAAAGAGCTTCAAAAAAACCAGAGCTATTGTGATTGTTACCAAATTGTCCTTGTTTAAAGTCTGGATGTACATCTGGTACCGTGGGAGATGTTGTGGAACAATCTCTCGGGAATTTTAACAGTGCCTTTGTGCAATTCATGAGCGTAATTTGATGGGGAGATGGCGTTTGCACATCTATGACAGAAATTACTACAATTTAATTTTAATGAAAATGATCAGGACTGTGCCAATATTTCTTTCTTTCTTTCTTTTTTTTTTTTTTTTTGCGGACCAGGGATTGAACTCAGGCCCTTAGAGCTTGCCAGAGAAGCACTTATTCCACTGAGCCATCTCCCCAGCTCCAATGTGCCAATATTTCTAATGCCATTTGTATGTGTGTGCATTTACGTGTGTGTGCACGCGCACACGCATAAGGATGCATGCATGTGTATCTAGAATGGTAGAGGCTTAGCCCTTTCTGCTGGAGTTATAACTGTCTGATGCCTGACACCCTAAGTTCTGGAAATGGGAGACACCTTCAGAGAGGTCCTTTTTGGCAAGCTTACAGATGGTGCAGACACGAGGGGTTATGTGGGGGACACATCCAGAAGTTAACCCCCACCATGGCTGAGGAAATCAGAGAGGCTTATATTTTTAGCCAAGAAGGGCTGCTCAGTCTCAGCCTGAGGCCCTTGTGGACCTGGCTGTGGAAAAGGAGGCTTCAAACAGGTGCAATACCCTCTCCTGAGGCGGCCTCTTCTCCAGAAAGTGTCAAGTGATCCCCTCATCTCATGGCTATGGAAGATAGGCTTAGAGGGCAACAGAGGGAAGGCAGCTGAAACAAGGCAGCCCCTCCAGGAGCCCCAAACCTCTGGCATCAATGTGCTATTAAAAAATCAGGGGCAGGGTACCTAGCTGAGCTACTGGAGGAAGGAATGTTCTGTCTCCGCTTGTGGAGATGACACTGATGATCCTTGGTCAACAAGTCATTGTGAGGTGTGTTTGGGCCTGAGGCTTTGGAACAACATGTCCTCTCTGGTGAGCACCTACTGTGCAGTTACCCACATTCCCCCACCATAGTCCTCTGACTTACAGCACTTGTCTGCTCACCATACGGCCAGAAATGATGGTCATGTGACAGAACTCAGCTCTACTCTGATCAAGCCTCTTGTCCTGCCTCTATTTGTACCTGGCTCTAACAAAGCCATATGGTGGCCAAAGCAACCCATTCTTTGCTGAAGTAGGCTCCCTGCAGGTAATAGTCAAGTTTGGATTTCTGAACTTCGCCCCACTTTTGCCAGCCAAGTATTATCCCCAGGTCCTGCTTATTGGCAGGGATAGGGGGCACAAATGCTTTATGAAAGTCCTTGTGTTGGGAGCCGGTTGGCTCCACAGGGCAGCTGGCTGGTGCTGGTTTGGAAGACTGCTTGGAGTTGAAGGAAACATTAGGCTATATCTAAAGCAAAGGTGGAGGGCTGGCCAAATAGCTCAGTGGATTAAAGCACCCCTGGGGTGCGCTGAGACTGCAATTGAGATCAGGGGTGTGTGTGTGTGTGGGGGGGTGCCTGTAATCTCAGCTCTTGGGTGGCTATAAACAGGCAGATCACTCTGAGTCTGATCTAGTAGTGAGATCCTGAACACCCTGTAGACCCTTCCCTAAGATACAAAATAAAATAAAATAAAATAAAGCAAAGGTGGTGCCCTCTTCCCTCTCTGGCTTTGCCAGGACATTTTTCTGTCTCTGCTTTATGTTATATTTTTATTTTTGCACTGGACTATGAACTCTATAAAGGTAGAAAGTTGTCATGTTCTCTTTGCATTCCCTATAGAGTCTAACTCAAGTCATCACAAGTTTTCCTTAAATAAATGCTGAATTAAATTAATTCTCTAAGGCTTTAGCTAGCTGTTCAAACAGTTCATAGAGTCAGTTCATACAATGAGCAACTTTTCTGGACTCTGGAGGAAGCATGATGAGGTAGACCAAGCACTAGCTTTGGAGTTGGGGAGAGCTGGAATTTGGTGCCTGGATTTAGCTGTGTGCCTCAGGTAAGCTTCTTAATCTGTGTTTTGTCCTGTCCACCGGAGGGATGATAAATGCTGATCTCATTTGCGCTGTTTAGAGTCAACAAGATAATATCTATTGAAGGGCCAAAGTCAGGGCCCAGTACACAGTAGGACTTTGATAACTGTGAATTCCCTTCTCCTAGTGTGAGAGGCCCTGGCCTAACCCTGTGTCATTCATACCCTAAGAAAGGTTGGGTGAAATGCTTAGGACTGAGGAGAGAGAGCCTGCTCTTCCTGCTAGACCAAGCAGAGTTGTCCCAGCTTCCTTCCTCACTTGCTTAAGTCATCAGCTCAGCTGAGGGCCTGTGCGGAAGTTGACTTCTGTCGTAGTTTCTGGTCCTAGGGTCCTGCTGCTTGTTACTTACTGGCGAGGTGGAGAGGAAATATGATCATAGAAGGCAAAAGAGATGTTGGGGTACAGAGATTTGGCCAGCTGTAGACATAGCTTGAGGCCCCACCCTGAAGCTGCATTTCAGCCCTGAAGAGGAAAGGGAATGGGCACTGTAGCCATCCCACTCCCAGACAGGTGGAGCAGGGATGAAAGAGGTCAGCTGGCCTTGAAGGCAAAACACTGGCTTTGATCTCAGAAAAGGAAGAAGGAGGTCCTAACCCCTTACTATCCTTTTCCCCTTGGTACTCCTTTTGCTTTTTGGGTTTCAATTTAAACACTTTTCAGGGGAACATGGTACTGGGAACTGGGCAAATGGAAGCTATGATGTGAAGTGAAGGGTTGGGAGTTACGGGTGATGGCTTCCAGGCTTTCCTGACCCAGGGACCAATGAACAAAGGAATGCGAACAGCTCAGCTCCAGATCGGGTCAGCCCACATTTCTTGTTCAATTCTTTCCACTCTTGCGCACACAATAGAAACAGCATACAATTAGATGTTTGGTCAAAAGATATCAGAAGGAGTCTCACGGTTGCTGTTAATTCTGCTGTAATTCTGTTTGGCCACAGGAAACCAAGCCACAGACCTGAATCATCTGGTCCTCTTATCCTCACCTCAGCATTTAGTGAGTACCTACTATGTACCATGCTAGGTTACTCACTGGGGTACAAAGTAAGGCATATTCAATAAGAGGGATTATTATAGAGAAGCATAATGAGTGATTTAATAGTAGATTCCAAAATACAGAGCTCGACATGGTGGGGCACACCTATCTATCAGTACTTGGGAGGCTGAGGCAAGAGGATCATTGGGAGTTTGAGACAAGTGGAGGCTACAAAGTGAGCTCAAGATCAGCCTGAGCTGCATAGCAAGACCCTGTCTCTCACAAATCAACTAACTTAATTCTCACAATCAAACTATATGGTAGGTGCTGTCATGGTTTGGCTTTGAAGCACAGAATAGTCAGGAATCACAGAAGTAGTTTACACAAAGCTGAGATTTGAACTTAGGTTATTTTGGAAGTCAGTGCTAAACACAGGGAGCCTGTAGATGGCTCCAGAAGTGACTGTGGAGTGGGATCTGGTCAAAGGAGCTTGGGGGATGGGTGAGGTGATTCCAACAGAGCCTGGGCAAGGGTAAGAAGCAAGAGCAGGGTGTGGTGGCACATGCCTGTCATCCCAGCACTTGGGAGGCTCAGACAGGAGGATTGCTATGAGTTCAAGGCCAGGCTGAACTACAGGAAGAACCTGTCTCACTCCTGTCCCCTACTCCCCAAAGGCAGAGAGCAAGAAACAACACATAATTAGGTATAATTATGCTGGGGTTCGGGTACAGGGAGGAGCAGGACACCAGGCTCGGGAGGTAGGCAAGGGTTTCCTGGTAGGCCCTGCTGAAGCATTTTCTCTTATCCAAAGCAAGTGGTTCCAAGAGAGTAGATCCTGTTTTGTTCTGGT